ATCTGAGGCCAGCCTTGAACTCAGGTTCTCCTGACTCCAGGGCTGGTCCTCTATCCACTGCTCCATGATCTCGCCCTTTAAATACTCCTCTAACCTGACCATTTCAAGAAAGATATTCTGCTCATCCACTTCATAGAACCGTATAATGGCCAGTCTACAATCACTAAACCATTGCATCAGCAGTCTTTCTACTTCTATCAATTACCTAGATGACCCTGAAAATTCTGGTAACATAATGTGCTATTCTTGCAACATGGAGGCTGTGAGATTGGCAGCACCTCTTACTTTTAACTGGACCCAATCTCCTGGCATTTCATGTGGAGAGTGAGACCCAGAGTCAGCTAAAAACACCTAAATAAGGAAGCATGTTCTAGTGGAAAGAATGTTGGCTTTAGAGTCAGAAAACACTAGGGTCTTAGGCTTGTAATCTTGGGTCTGCCACTTACTAACTCTGTGACCTTGAGTGAATCTTAATCTCTTTGAGCCTATTTTCCTATCTATGAAAGAGAGAAAGCTGTACCTTGCAGCATTGTGGTGAGATGATGCCCTGAAGTGCCTGGTGAACCTTAAGGTGTTATATAAATATAATCTATTTATGATTCACTTTAGAATTACATGAAATGTTTTCACAGGCCATTACATTATAAGCAAAAAGCAGCAATTTCCATATACCAAGTCTGATGGCGTTTTCATAGGCAAGGCATCATCTCTGAAAGGAAATTGATACCTTTGTCTGAAAGCATCTCTGGGGGACACGCAAGACAAAAAAAAAATGCGTGTGAATATAAAACCTGGAGTGTGCCCCTCTCACACATGGATAGGGTCTTCAGAATAGCTACCCTATGTTCAAGCTATTCTATGGGTTCTCATATCCTCAAAACCATAAATCGTGAGCTACTTGTGATGAATTTATTTTTTTTTCTAATTAGAAAGGGTATGTGCTTAGTTCAAAATAAAGCTACTTAATGAAATAACATAGGAAAATAGTAATAGAACTTCCCCCTCCCCCAAAACCATCTTTGGGAAAAGTAAGCATGTATGGGGATGACATATGAAGGTCATACCCATGTATATGTCATCAGGACATATTTGTGGAAGGGGAACTCAGTCTCTGATGCTACAGGGCCACTGATGTCATTTGGTGATGTCATCATACTGATGTTTCTGCTAAGCACAATAAAAGCTCCCCATGGTTTCTTCATTACTGGTGACTGAGGAGTGCTTAGTCTCAGCTGGTGTTACTTGTGGCCACTGCTGGGCAGGTAGTCTCTGCTGGGCACTTCTCCCTGGGACCAGCTTTTAGGCTCATCTCCATCTGTCAGCCATCTGGGTGTAGTGGCTAGAAAACAGTTCCCTGACAAGGATGGGCAGACAGCTCTTTAGACATAGCCACCACATTCAGTTAACAAAAGTCAGACAGAATCCCCTCCTCCCACCCCAGGCTAAGATTAAGTCTTTTCTATTTAACACCCGTGTCTGGGGTGGAGATAGCAGCCCTTTTCTATCTCACTTAGAGTTAGAAATTCCCAAGATCCTTTCTGTCTTAACATGCAAATGAATTTGAGTCAGAACAAAAGGTAAGTAATGAGGCAAGATCATTGTCTCAAGCACCAAGCCATATTTCTGACTTTATTATGTGTATCTGTCAGCCATGAAACTAGTGCTTTATTCCAGCCTGGGGAAAAAAATATCTTCCCTCTCCCTACATGACAATGAAGGAGGCCCTTGTTATTGCTTCTGGTTACCTCATGGCATAATCATCATTCTAAGAACACACATTTGTCCCTTAGGAGTGGGTTTAGGGAGATGACCTAATATCCCATTTCCACCCGGATAAAATGTCCCTCCAGGATGCAATAGGGTTACAGTGAGGCTCTCATCAGAGGCTTGCTCTGATCTGTCTCAGGAGATTTACAATAATCCTCCTCCTGCCAAGTCATCCCAGGCCTCTAGAAATTCAGCAATAACCATCCCCTGGTCCTCTTGGTCCTTAGCCAGCCTGCACAGCAGAGATAAATCATCATCTAATTCCACCAACCATACTCTGTACTTTGATGGGACTTCCCAAGAGATATCTTGGTTCCTATGTATCTGTAGTCTATAAAGCAAACATTTTTCCTACATAATTTATTTTTCTTTTCTCATTGGATAAAGAGGACTTCTTGTGGGAAATTTATCTTCCTTAAGGATTCCAGTCTTGGAATAATGAAACATTAAAAAAAAAAAAAAGACAAATTGGTTTCCAGATTATGATCAATTAAGGGAAAATATTTCCAAATCAATATGAATACATTATACAGTGTCCCAAAAATCTTAGTGTAGTTTTAAACTTTAATAACCTAAAGCTTTAATAACTTAAAATTTCACTAAGGGGTGTCTAGGTGGCGCAGTAGATAGAGCTCAGCCCTGGAGTCAGGAGGACCTGAGTTCAAATGTGACCTCAGACACTTGACACTTACTAGCTGTGTGACCCTGCGCAAATCACTTAATCACAATTGCCTCACTAAAAAGCAAAAAAAAAAATTAACTAACATTTTTGGAACCACCTGTACATATACACAAAAAGTGTTATGTATATATGTATATATATGTGTATGTTATACATAAGAATTTTAAAACATAATGTTGATTTTCAAGAATAGTCTATTTATTTTATTTTTTAGTCCAGATTTATGATTTCATCAGATGTGGAGAATTCCCACTATGGAAACTTCTCCCAGTGATGAGGACAAGCAACTTCTCTGTAAGTTATGTTCTCAAATGTCTAGGCCACTGAGACATTGAGTGCTTTGTCCATGGTCATATGGGCAGCTAGGTGGTACAGTGAATAGAGTGCCACGCCTGGAGTCAGGAAGACTCATCTTCCTGAGTTCAAATCTGGGCTCAGACACCAGCTATGTGACCTTGGGCAAGTCACTTAACCCTGTTTGCCTCAGTTTTATCATCTGCAAAATGAGCTGGAGGAGGAAATGGCAAACCGCTCCAATATCTTCGCCAAGAAAACCCCAAATGGGGTCATGGAGAGTCTGACATGACTGTGCAACAGCTCCCCAAATCAGATTTCAGGAAAGCATTTGTTTGCAGAACAAGATTTAGAATTGGCAGGAACCTTACGGATGATCTAGATTAGGCCCCACTTATTCTACAGGTGAGGAAACGGGCCCAGAATGATGAAACGATTTGCCCAAGGCCACAGAGGTAGACTTTGCGCAGCTCAGATTAGAACTCAGTCAGGTCTTTTGATTCTAGATCCAATGTTCTTGCCATTGCCCTATTCTCTAGCCTACTTGGCCTAGACCTGTAATGTGTTGTGCAAATGAATTTAGGCCCTGAGGCTAACAAGAACAAAGCCTTTGGGTGGGGGAAGAGAGATACTAAAAAAGAAAAAAATCATCTGTGTCCTCCCTGTGAGATTACCCCCATTTTATCCTGTAGGCATCTTATTTGTACATAGTTGTTTACACGTTGTCTCCCCTAGTTAGCCCGTAAGCTCCTTGAGAGCCAAGACTGTTTTTTGTCAAGGAAGAAGTACCCTCTCCCCCCCCAAAAAAAATTTTCGTGGCATTATTTCCATCTTGAAAAAAGTTGTGGACCTGAGCTCTGTCAGTATGACTCTTTGTTGAACCCCATTTGAGGGTTTTTTGGCAAAGATATTGGAGTGGTTTGCCATTTCCTTCTTCAGCACATTTTACAGATGAGGAAACTGAGGCAAACAAGGTTAAGTGGCTTTCCCAGGGTCACATAGCTAGCAAGTGTCTGAGGCCAGATTTGAACTCAGGTCTTTCCTGACTCTAGGCCCTGAACTCTGTCCACTGGACGACTTACCTTGCTGCCCTGAGTGCTGCTTCGTGTTTAAATTCTATTGTACTTTAGAAAACTCATTCCCAACTAACTGAATCTGGTTTGTTAAAGAGAGCTCCACTTGCTTAAACGCTATGTTCAAACCAGAATTGGCTAAGCCCTTTCCTTTGCCTGCCTCTATTTCATGGCAGTCTCACTGGAAATAAATTGAATGAAAGCAGAATTCTTTTCTACACTTCTACTGAAACAGGTACTTTCTCTGGACGAGTATGTGGGTGACCATGGAACAGTGGTTCTCAAGGGTCGTGCTGTGTTTTGCTCAGTATGTTCTGTGAAATTTAGGACATTATGTTATTGTAGATAAGAGAAAGTTTACAAATAATTTTGCTTAATATGCATCTTACATGCCCAGAACATGTTCTATAGTACACATAACTTTCACAAAATAAAAAAAAAACTTGTCTGTTACACAACATACTCTACCTCAGAACACCTCATACCTTAAACTCACGAAGAATTCAACAAGATGGCTGATATTTTTGAAGGGAAGTGTGTATTCTCCCAGAATATCCCCAACTTAAACATTCAGCGTGCTATGATTCTTCCTGCCTAAGAATACTGTATCAGGAGCAAAAGAAAAAAAAAAATTTGGAGAACTAATGTTGGAGGGGAAGTAACACTAGCTTTGGAGTCCAGGGACCCGGGTTTGAATTCTGACTTTGCCACTGACCTCTACCTGTAGAACCTGGAGCAAGTCATCTCACTTTTCTGGGCCTGAGTTTCTTTCTGTGTAAAATGAAAGGGTAAAATTATTCTTTCAGCTCAGAAATACTGTGATTTAATTGGCTTCCAAACTGGATGATCATGAACCTTATGAGTTTCTTCCGGATTGAGCATTATTTAGAAAAATCTTATGATTTCAAGGAAAGGACCGTTTCCTTAACTCTGAGAGCCTCTCAGTTGCTAGAGGTTTTTAGAACAAATTTTAGCACGTCTTTGCAGGACTCCCCTCTAAATGGTCTGAACTGTGGTGGAGGTGGGATAGATGTTTTTGGTTTTCATCATTCAATTCATTTCTTCAGCTTTGGAATTTAACTCCAGCAAGGACTGGTATTTCTCTGACTGAAAAGGTGTTTAAAAAAAGAAATGAAGAATTTAGCTATGGAATGCTTTAGCTGAAATATCTTCTTATTTTGCAGTTGGGAAGACATCTTTGATCACGCGGTTCATGTATGACAGCTTTGACAATACATACCAGGTGAGGCCCTTTTCCCCTTCAAATAAGGTAAGGTGTAGAAAGTACTTGGTGACTAGGAAGTACTTTATGAGTGTGAACTATTGTTATTCAGTATCCTATATTGTTGTTAATATATTGTTATATTATATTACTTCATAATATATTATATCGTACTAAGCTATATTATATCGTTAAATCATATATCATATTATGTTATATTATGTTACATTACATTGCATCACATCATAATATATTATATTGTACTATACTATATTATATCTTATATTATGTTATATTCTATTACATTATATCACATATAATATATTATATTGTATATCATATTACGTCATATTATATCATTATGATGTTCAGAATAAAAATACATTTTTAAAACATGTTCAATATCATATTATCATAGTATATTATATATGTCATGTCATACTATGTTATGCTATGTTATATTTTGTTATGTTATAGATTTAAGTAACTAGTCCCTTATTGTATATTAAAAACAAAAAATTCTAAATTCGCTGTCATTCAGGAGACTTTTTTCCTTAGTCCCCAACATGTGCTCAAGGAAAATGGTGGAATTTCTTTCCCTAGAGATATTCAAAACCAAGATAGGCCCATATTTCTCTGAAATGGGTTAGGTGTCATCCTGTTTTGGAGCAAGAGTTTGGATAAAGTGACCTCTAAAGCAGATGGTTCTCAAAGTGTGCCTTGAGGACTATTTGGGGTCCATAAAGATTATTCCAATGGTCTATGCAGCTTTTCTCTTATAATATAATATTACTTCTTTTATCAATCATTATTTTATTCAGAGAAGTGAATTTTCCAGATAAATGAAGCTTAGCCTTGAAACACCAAAATATGTTTTACTTTAATTAACTTATTATGGAAATCTTTCTAAAATATTTTGTACATTTAAATGATTTCTCAAACAGAAGACAAACATATTTTTAAAATGCCTTTATTCTTATTCTGAACTTAACAGATACCAAATAAAATGTGCATTTTTGTTACCATGTTTATTTTTCTCTTCCTCTTCTCAACACCACACATTGGAAAAAAGAAAAGAAAGCCTTTGTAACAAGTACGCATAGTCAAGCAAAACAAATTCCCACATTGGTCGTATCTGAAAACTGTGTATTATTTTGGTATTATATTTGGTATATATTTATACCTTGATTCCATCACCTCTGTGAGAAGGTGGGTAGCTGCACACTCCATCAATCATCAATCCTCTGGAATCAGGTTGGTCATTGCATTGATCAGTGCTCTCATGTCTTTCAAAGCTGTTTTTCTTTACAATGTTTTGTAGTTATGTGAGTGATTCTTCTGGTTCTGTTTCCTTCACTCTGCATTAGTCCACACATATCTTCCCAGATTTCTCTATAACCATCTGTTTATTTTTTGTGGTACAATAATATTCTATTACTTTTGCATACCATAATTTGTTCAGCGCTTCCCCAATAGAGTTGTCAGATCTTTGTTATAAAAGTAGCCGCTATAAGAAATTTTAGACATGTAAGTCCATATTCTTTCTTTGATCTCTTTGGGATATAGACCTAGGAGTGGTATCACTGGATCAAAGGATATGCAGAGTTGAGTGACTTTTGAAGCATAATTCCAAATTGCTTTGCAGAATGGCTAAATCAGTTCAACAGTACATTAGTGCACCTGCTTCCCCATAGTCCCTCCAACAATTGTCATTTTCCTTATTTGTCATCTTAGCCAATCTGATAGGTGTGAATTGGAACCTCAGAGTTGTTTAATTTACATTTCTCTAATTATTAGTGATTTGGAACTAATATAATTTACCTTCCTTTTTTAACATTTGACATGATCATTAAGAACATCTCTTATTGCCCTATGAAATATAACAGTTCTATGTCTGCTTTTTAGTTTTTCTGTCTCCATCTGTAGACAGGCTATAGCTTCTCCTAATGTCAGTTGCTTCTCTGTAACAGCCCTACCTCTATTCTATTTGCTGCTCTTAATAAGTTGTGGTCTAGACAACCATATACTCAGGTGTGTTAAAACTTATGTGCTAAACAAGAGTCAGTAAGAGTATTAGCAGAAATCTAAGGAGTGAATTGCCGGGCATTTGCCTCAGGGGTTGTGGCAGTTATTTGGGACACTGAAGGACCTTTTTCTTTCAATTCTGGGTCCAGCGCTGTGTTTAGAAAGGTGTGTGGCATTCCAGGCAATGGAAAAGAAGACATGGGAGGTGAGAATTATGACATACATTGGAGAATAGCAATCCCTCGGGCAACAATGACTTTACACAAAGTCAGTGGTAGTTGAGTGTTTGACAACACCTTCTGAGCCCTTCTCCATTCACTTGAGGAACCCTGAAAATTATATGTGAATTTCCTGTGCTTTAGTATATTGTTGTTTTTGCATTCCTATGATACCATAATTTCTGTGGCTCTGTAAATAAATGTGATAAAGGGGAAAAGGAAGAATAAAAAAAACCCAAAACTCCAGAATTTCCTCTGGATTCAGTAATTAGGAAAGGGGTGGTGCTATGGACATAAACTAGAGAGATCAGAAAGAATAAGATGATATATTGGACAAGCTAGGTTTGAGGTCCTAGTAGGACATATGGGTAGAGATATCTAGGATATAAGTGGAAACCCAAGAGAGAGATTGTTTGCAATAAACTTCCACAGTGGATAGAGTCTAAGTCAGTGGGGATCGATTGGAAATCCAAGGAAGAATGGGTTCAGAGAGAAGGGGCCTGAGACCAGAGCTCCAGAGAACACACAGAATGAGAAGTGATAGAAGAAAATGAAGGCTCTGGATATGAAGTGACCTAGGAGACAGGGGATGGACACAGAGCAGTCAGGAAGGTAGGAATGTGGTTTCACAGAAGCCTAAGGAGGGACAAGTTTCAAGACTAACAGCATCAAACACTGAAAAAGAGATAAACAAGAAAGAAAACTGAGAAAAGGTCTTTGGATTTGGTGATTAAGAAGCCAGTAGGAGTCCTCAAGGGAATAGTTTCAGTAGCAAAGTTGGGGTAGGATAGAAGGCAGATTGCAAAGAGTTGAGAAGTATATAACACGTCAAAACATACCTGGCTTCTGGTATGAATTACTAATTTACTTACAATATTTCTCATTTGTGTTCTGTGAAAAAGTAGCATCAATCTCTTCCATTAGTTCTCGTGAATTTGGGTGCATGTGTATGTTTTGGGTGAAGGAAAGGGAGGCACTGGAGGAAGATCCTCTAGTAGTTGGGAATATTTTTTTTTCCAATGGGAGCATGTGCACAGGGAATTCCATGGAGTTCTTTCTCCTGCTGAAGATGCCTGTGGGAATCCCCGTCTAGGGTCTAGACCCTTAAAGCATCGCTAAATCTGGTGTGCTGAGAGAGCTACGTATTATCGACCCTCATACAGCATAAATCCACCAGGGCAAGGGATGTTTCATTTTCGTCATTGCATCCCTAGAACCTGCACACAGTAGGTGTTTAAAGGCTTATTGTTTAATTGATTGATGACGGAAAGTTGAGAAGTAATGTCCCACCATTTGCAGGAATTCTTAATGTGGAACCCCTGGGCTTATTTAAAAATATCAAATAACTGCATTTCAATAGAATTGGTTTTCTTTGCAATCCTAGGCATTTTATTTTATTCATTTAAAAGCATTATTCTGAGAAAGGGTCCATAGACTTCACCGGACTGCAGAGGGGTCCATGACACAAAAATGACTAAGAATCTCTGGGTTAGTCTGATCTTTTTACTTGGCCACAGATGGAGCTCTTTCGATAACAGCCTATTAGCCTTATAATTAGTATGAAAGTCCTCTTCTTCTAGTTCTGTACTCATACACTCTAGTGTTAATGAATTCTCTTGGGAACTAGAGAAAAGGGGGTGCCTTTTTATTTGGTTTACAAGAAGGCTTTGTAAAAAACCAAGCTCACCCTGGGACCAACAAGGCGCATATAATCTGTAATCTCAGCTTCCATTTTCTTTCCTCCAGCATCAGCTCCTCTATCCTTCCTGCTCTCCGTGTCTCCCTGCTTTCTGAGCACCGTGGGCCACATTCCTCTCTGATAGGGCCAGCTAAGGAAAAATTCAGTGGAAAGTTGAGAAGACTGAGTTAAGACAGAAACCTCTTTGCAAGACAATAGAAAAAAATGTACCACTGACAAAAACTTGTCATCCAGCCACACTTTTCCCCCAGGTAAACTCAACAACAACAACAAAAAAAGAAAATAAATCAGGCTGAATCATGGCTGGTGCCTGGTAGGCAGACAATTGTCATCCCCTTGGCGGCCCCGTTGCGTCCCTCAAGCGAGGCGTTAACTTTGCTAGAGATCTCCTAGTGGGAAGAGTCCTGGCTTCAGGGTCAGAGGGGCTGGGTTGGAATATTGGCTCTGGAGAATTCTAGATCCTAGTGTTAGAGCTGGAAGAGACTTCAGCGGCTATCCAATCCAACCTCCTCATTTCAAAGATGAAGAAGCCAGGGCCCAGGGAAGTAAAAGAACTTGCTCAAGGTCACAGAGGCAAAAAAAAAAAAAAAGCAGTAGGGGCAAGATTTGAACTCAGGACCTCAGACTCCAGACCTTCAATGCTCTTTAGAATACCAATTCTCGGGACAGCTAGGTGGTTCGATGGCCCTGAAGTCAGGAGGACCTGAGTTCAAATCTGGCCTCAGACACTTGCTTTAAACTTGAGGTACATCACTCTACTGCTTTGGGACTAATTTTCATTCTCTGTAACATCATACAGCTGATTAATCTCTACCAACCTGTGGTTCAATGAGATCCTATGACTTACAATAAGCAACTAGGTAGCACAAAGGAGGCAGAAAGACCTGGGTTCAAATCCTGCCTCAGTCAACATAGTTGCTGTGTGACCCTGGGCAAGTCACTTAAACCTCTCACAGACTCAGTTTTCCCATCTGCAAAATGGAGGTGATAATAATAATGCCAGGATAATTGTAAATGAATGAACACATGTAAAGCACTCTGCAAACCATAAAGTGATATATAAATGCCAGCTATTATCA